ATGAATGGAAACAAATCTTGGGATTTTTTTTCACGATCCTTGACTAAACCTGGGGATGGCTACTTGAAAACAGTGTTCGAGCCGAGTTCATGAAATCTGGGTTAAATTTTGGAAATGGTACTGAGCTAAAAACTATAATCTCGTTTAGAATATCTGGATCTTCTTAGATGAGTCCTTCACGTATTACAGCTACGTACTTTTAAACGTTTATTTGTAAATTTAAAATAAATTCAATGTAATTACTTTACCGCAGGCAATCGTAGATATCGAGCAATTTCATGTTGTAGAAAATCAGTGGAAATCTCGATAGAATCGTAGTCGAAGGAGTTCAGAAAGTACACGCCGCTTAAAAGCTTTTTCGCCCTAGGGGCCAGGAGGTTTCGAACTATTAGACGCCGACCATAAACGTCCGCGAAAACTGAGTTGCGCTTTTAGAGCCTATATCGCCAATGTGAAATTTTCAATGGGAAAATTTCGGTGGCTTCCCCAAGTAAGATTTTAATGCGTTTGTCGCTGTTCGTTCGTGGAAGAATCGGTAATCGTAAAAATCGGTAAACGGATTTCATGCTGTTATATCGATTGAAAAGTTTTTCTTATGAAACAGTGTGCAGTATATATATATGTATATATACAATAAAAACTGACCTTTTCACGAAAAGGTAAAAAACTAGGCAAGTTTGAGGTGGAATCAAATTAAGGTCTAGAAATTTGTAAAATCGCAACGAATGTGGTAGTCAAGTTTTCTTTTAAATTGCATTTAAATTGTTATTTGAACGTGTCCGTTCGTCTTAGTACTTTGGTTAAATCATACTTAAAGTCATAACAATGATTGAGTTTCTGTTCCCGTCAGGAATGGAAGATGAAATTCTTTAGCCAGCGGTGCATGGAGTTAATATTTGGCTGGTGGGTCAAAGTTTAAATCGTCCTGGGAGGAACTCTTTGCCGTTAATTTAAGTTTCATGAGCGTGTCTGACGTTCCCGTGGCGTCGTTGGTGGACAGACCCGATTAGAGTGAACTCCTTCGAAATACATCGGGAAGAAGTAAAAAAAACACGGTGTAGAAACAGTAGTTCGTGCGATGTCCGGAATAAGAAAACTTTCAGAACTTGCAAAAATTCTGGCAGTCAGGTGTTGTTTCAACTTATTCGACAAATGTTTGAATACTCTTGAGATTAAATTGTGTTCCCTAAAACTAACTTCTTAATTAAATGATCAGACCAGCTCGACTTTCAGTGAAGATATTTGCGACGATCACTTGCGACGGAAGATCAGAAAAGGAATTGTTCGTTGTTAAATGAAATTAAAAGAATTAATCTACGCTATTTATTGTAGTAAATGCCATAAAAGCCATGTGAGCCCCTAGTAAGTGGCATAAAATAGCCGATTGTTCCCTCTATCAACAAAGATTCTCTTTTCAGCGAGCAATTGGTCGAGTCTCTCTTACCGTTGCGACTCCGCGAAACCGGAAGAAGGGAACGTCGTCTGCAGGATTTGATACAAAGGAGCAGGCAGGAAATGGCAAAGAGATCAAATGTCTGGAGATAACAAGTAGAAAGCTGATTCGATGTACCGGGCACTGGCTGCCCGATCAGCTAGAGTCCACGATATTCCCCCGGGAGGCGTATCCTCCAGTCTCCTGACTCGTATTTCCTGCGAGTTCGTGCTAACTTTCTTCCAGTCTTTCAACGGTGATAAATAGATCGCCAGCTACGACAAGTGAACATTAGTCTGTTCTTTCTGCCTCTCGAAATTCTGCTGCAGGACGTGTGCTCGTGAAACTGCATTTAGAAATTCTTAGTAACATTGAAGTTTTCTAATCAAAATGATAAAAAATTTGTTTATATTCGTTAGAATATGAATTTTATACATTTATGAAAAGACCGAATATGTAAGAAATATAAACGTTGCACGTGATAGGTAAAAATTTGTAAAACATCAGACATAAATGCATATTGCAATGCTTAAAAGAAACTTTCATCGTAAATGCACTTTTTTAATTAACTGTCATAAATGTTTTATTTGCACAAAAATCCGCAGTTTGTTAATCACATTGTGGACGATTAACTAATTTTCCTCAATCTTTTATCAAGCGAGAAAATGAGTTTTCGAACATTTTTACTTTCGTTTAAGCACATTCATAAAGTGCACACGACGGTAAACTGGCGGACAATCAATAATCGGTTTGGAACATCAAAGGCTCAGAGCTTCCGGGGAACAAATATACCGCGCCAAGCTTCCGACGTTAATTTCCCGCGACGTAACTGGAAGTAAAATATTTTTCGAACGTCAAACTGTGCGCGGCTTAATTGCCCCTCCGGAATGAATTTATACTCAAACTGTACAAGGGGTCGGAAATATAAGCGCCGGTTTAAACGGATACGGTAAACATTTTATCCTGCAATCTAATTGCCGTGAATGTGACTGATTGATCGATTCAATTCGCATGACGGCTAGACGCCGGAAATTCAATGTCTATGTCACCACGGAACCGAAATTTCCCTATCCCATTCACGAGATCCGAGCAATTACATCAGTCTTGTATGAGTACACAATATGCACATGTAACATGTACACGTATCCGTGTAGACGGATAACTAATACGCATATAAACACGGACTTGTGATTGTTTGATTAAGTATTTTAATATTCATCTTTTTCCAACGTTTTTAATTTCATACAAAATTAAAATCCACGGATTTTAATTTCGCGTGTGGTTTCTGTTAAAGGTTTCCCGTCAATTTTCTGCACTTAATTATAGAACTCCCGTTACCAGCACTTGCGTTCGACGGTTTACTTCGGCTTTGCTGACGTGCCAGAATTTTCATCACAGTGGCCATTTCGCGAAGATTGATTAATTAAAAAAGCATAAAACAGACAAAGATATTCACGATGAATATTTTTTGTCCGTACGTTACAGTGCTTGACGAAACCATGCCGCTGAAACTCTGTTCCCGTTTCGCTTGGCTTTACGTAATAATTCGTTTTGTTGTCCTGTTAACCATTGCTTTGTGAAAAATCGGCTGAAAAAATCTGCATAGAAGATCGTTAACGAGCTGGTTTCGTTTGTCCGGCGCGTCGCGTAATCAGTTTAATTCATAAACGCGGCTGCTTCGGCTCAATTTCGGGCGTTTCCCGTTGGCTGGTTAGGGTCCACGGGTAATTGAGCGAATTCAACGTGAACAATGTTGCACGGTGTACACTGGCGTACTGGTTTAAAGCGATAATTAATCTGAACAGGGAAATATGCGTAGATCATATTACGTAAAACGAGATATGCGCGAGACTGATATGTCCACTGATCACGGCGCGACTCTCAATTATCGAAATAATGCAAATGCATGTTTTTTTTTCGCTTTCAGCTTTTACACGGAATGGAGAACAAATACAATTCATTCAGGGATTGAAACAGGAAGATGCAGGTATTTTTTCCATGGTTTACATTTCGTGATTATTCCGGCAGGTATCGATTAAATTTATCCACGGTATTTGCGCACGTATACGTAGTGTTGTATAAAAAAATGTTAGTTTCCCACCAATTTTTCTCTCCATTAGTAAATTTGCTCGCCAATCAAAACGTTGGAAAATTTTCATATAGAATAAAATCTGTTATCACGTTTTATTCAATTACGGGATGTTGAACGATTTTACAGCAAGAAACAATAATGAAATAAAATCTGTGTTAAAGAAAAAGTCGATCCAGTAACGAGGGGTGATTAAAAAGATATCGCGTTAACGTGACGTTGGTCGTTAGTGGGTCAGCGAAGGTATTAATTTTCTAGTCATTAAACGCGGTATGCAATTACGATGCCATGAATCGACTTAAGCGCGGTAGTCGCCTGGTAACTGGCTCGTTGTATTCTGAATCGTACTCACCGGCAGGGATTCAGGAGTGTGGTCCAGCACGTATATGTTGTTCGTATATCCATATAACATCGTGTCCAGATCTGAAATCCAAGGAGCGAGCAGAACATTAAATTGGATTCGAACATCGGCAACTACGACGCGGAATAGTAACGCTATGCATACAGTTAGCCAGCTTCACTACCTGGAATGAATGCTCCAATTACCGCAAAAACAGTTCTTGTCAAATGCAATTCCCATTCGATACGAAATGAACAAAGAAATTGAATACGTCGTCTTTCATAGTATTGTCTTGGTTTCATGGTTTCGCTGTTTGAACTAATATGCTCATAATCATACGAATTCTTGTTTGAAGAAATGATGATGTGACGCATTGGCAACGTGATAAAGTATACATTTTTCGCAACGTTCGATTGATTTAAATCGATGGCGAGTTAACGACTCGCTAACAAGTTTGGTCGCAGCGTAGCGAAGTTGAAATTAATTTTCGATTTTAATACGCGGATAGTTAAGGAACTTGTGAACGTTAACGCAATTTTTCTTTAACGAAGTTTCTTCTTACGTGGCAGTGGTGGTTTAGGCGCGAGGAGCGCTTATTGATGGAAAAATAATTAGCTGACAGACCGTAGCGTGGCCAGAACTTGGATAGAACTTCGTCGCCGGCAAGATCGATTGACCTCGGGTAATCATAATACGTGAAAGGATCAATCTACAAATAATTCCGATCACGAAGGTGAAAAAGAAAATTGATGTGCCGCCATTAAGTAAGAGCCGTAGGACATGAGATTAAAGATAAGTTCGATGGAAAAAATGGAAATATCATAAAGTACCGGGTTGCCAGGGCGGAAAAACCATTCTGTATCCAATACTCGGAGGATATACGATCGTAATGCCTCTCAGGGAACACTTGCAAACACCAATATATCACACGGAATCCGGGAAAGAGGACGATTTATGCGTTGAAATCTCAGACCTGGCTCAGGGAGCGGAACAATTTTTCAGAATTATTACCTAGGCTACGCGCGGCTATCTGTCGATGAACGAGAGCCACTTCGAGCTCGATCGCGATTCATTTCCATGCGAAAGGTCCTTTGTTCCCACTCGTTTCGCTCGGGCGTACCCACCGGACAGATAGATACCCCGATCGAGGAATCAATCGAAATGCGAAGGCCACCCGACTATCGCCAGGTACAATACATGACGATATTTCGTTCGTCGTTCACGCTTAAAAGTGATACGCGGATCTCATTTCGACACGCGGATCTCATTTCGACACGCGGACTGTTTGCCGCGAGTTTCAATAATTCCCTAAGCGAGAAATGGTGCGTTTTATAGCTGAACGATTTATGAACGCGGTATATTAATATTAAAAGGAACGTATAGCGCGTTAAAAATGTTCCCATCGCCTCGTACAGTCGTTATTTCAAAATATGATATTATACATATTTCGTTGAACCACATTAATAGTATTCCAGCTGTCCGATCACGTACTGCATTACTTTACTTGCAGAAGGATGCGCGGTAACACGTAGATCTAGTTTTGTGGAGATGCATAATGCATGTATGGCCAAACACGCTCCTATTCTACTCGCTTCAACAAATGTCACAAGTGCATTACAACGACGAAGAGTTGTTAAACTTATAATGACTGTTTTAGTTTGATTATCCTAACAATCCTGACTACGGCAAAGTTTATAGAATAAAATAGTTAGATTTATTGTAAGATTATTATAAAATATAATGGATATTATGAATAAGGCAACTAACCCAACCAATGATTAGCAATAAATAAAAATTGTTATGAACTGAGTCGACGAATCAGAGCGGATGATACTAGGTTTCCATTAATCAAAGCGATCAGCCACGGCGCTGCAGCGTGACCAGTCGCGTTCAGAAAAAGGAAAACGGAGAGAGGGGAGCAATTATCGTTTGCGCGTACAGCGATTAAACGAGCGTTCCCACGGCGCGGGTGAAATTTTTCGGTGACGCGGTTCGCGTTACGGAGGACCAGTTTCCGGTCAGCTAATTCCAGTTGCAGCTTTCGCTCGAGCCCAGTGCGGGCACAATCGAGCCGGAAATAACGAATGAATTTATCCCAGCGACTGTTCCGCGCCAACGGTCACTGGCGAAAGCACGCTGTGTAACGCTGTCACATTTCTACTTCTTCTGTCTCTTTCTCCCTCTCCTTCTTCACCCGCGTGTCACGGCTGTACCATTAATCTCGCGTTAATTATTATTCGCATATCCGTTTTAATAAGCGGATGCGTCGGTGAATTCGCGGCTGACGCGCCTCAATCTTATTACGAGATGATGTCAAAGGAATTGGCCGGTTTCGAAACTTCGCGAAACGAAATTCGGAGCGAAACCGTGATCGTTAAGCGAACGCGCGTTCGATAAGGAACTTCGTGGATGTCCCGAAGCTACCTTCGAAGATTGCGAGATAGCTATCGGCTGGGGATGGTTAGATTCTGCTTTGAGATACGTGAGAGTGGTAATTAGATCGCGAAATACAGGAAATTTGAATAATACCTCGAATAGGACCTGGAATATTGGATCATCGATTACTATATTCAATGCCAAAGAATTTTCAAACAAATACGAGGATTTTGGTTCAGTTAACGTTTAAAGTTGAAACTGAATGAAAATATCAAAAATCGATTGAGAAAATTGTGTAGATTTCAGTGAATTCGATCTCTGTTGTGATTCAATACATGATACCGTCGCACGGTTTTCGTTTCCGACACATTCGTAAAAATATTTAAAAAATTTGTTGCTTTGATTCTAAGTTTGAGTCAGGGCGTATTATTAACTTTTACTGAAAAACCACAAAATAGAACGTTCTTTCCTGTATAAAATCTACAACAATAGGAAGGTGCAGGGCAGAATAATCCGCTTTATCACTCTTTCCATTTATTTGTTTTATCTCGTCTTTTTTATCTGTCTTCATTGCGTGCATTCATTGTTATCCAGCGGTGGCGTACGAAGAAAACGGCACGAAACAGGCCATGGTGTACATCAGAGCGACTGGGAGGATTTATTGTTAATTACTTTCCTATGCTGACCTATTCACCTCATCCTGTGGTTTCTGTTTCGGTGGATTTATCGCCATTATTTTTCCGCTCCCTCGCGACCAACGAAATGGCGAAATGTATGCGGACGTTCAAACAATCGCGATACGACGCGAAAATGAGATTTATCGCCGCGAATTGTATCACACTCTGACGTCTATGCTGTGGAAGGGTCATGATAAAAAGGGTAGATAATAGGATGAAACGTCATGCGCGATATGATATCAAATATCTGACAGTTTTCAGTGCTTTGGTTTCATAATAAAATTTATATAAAACGATCCTAGTATAGTTTGCTCGTTCTTATTATCTGCTATACGAAATACAGATTTAACGAGTTCATTTTTCATCAATTCATTATCATTAACGAGTTGTTTAAAGGATAATAAAGTAGAGAGTATATAATAAATTGAATGTATGATTTTATTTATTCGTATGTCACTCGATATAAGAATGAATTCAACGAAACATATAATAAAATTATTTCTGTTCCAGTCGAGTTCGACTTCTTAATTGTTTGAAGGCATGGCCAAAAATATTCTAACGAGAACGGTGTGAAGTGTCCGCCCGGAAGGATAAAATCCATCGTGGAAACCATTTAATGTGTCGCAAGCGTTCGCTCCACTGATCTGCAAATTCGTCCAATTAATTGCGGTTCTAACAGTAACGAACCACCGCACCGGCTATAATTGCAAGCCTCGTCGTAGCCTGCTAATAGCAATCGCGCGCTGCTCGTTCGCGGATAATTTATCGTCCCGTCGTCCCATCCCGTTGCGTCGTTACGACGACGACAGCCACAGCCGGAAGGATTCGCAAAAAATTTGTGCCACGGTTGGAAAATCCATTCTTCGCTAGACGCGAAAGTCGTAATGTACTCTGACATGTTAAAACGTTCGTTCGACTCTCGCTTTTCTGCTACGCTCACCATCCATCGGGTCGGTTGCGAGTGTTTTAACGCTCTCGAAGCCGGCACGTCCTTCGCGATCATTGAAATTGCCTAAGCTCGTCGAAAATTCATCAAGCTGCCAGCTATTTGCGCCGTTCTGCTTCTGGCGCGCAAACAATACACACGTTTACTTTGCAGCCGGTTGCTGTTCGAAAGCTGGTTTGTAATTCCCTGTGTAGATGCAAATTTTATGCAGTTGCAGCCGCACCGCGTCGAGGAGCTACCTAAGTTTTATGTCTGCGTGTTAATTGGTTCGTTTTACTTGCTTCCTAGTAAACTTTATTACCGCATTCAGCCGCGTTCAAGCCTTACCCCCAGCTTTCTTTATATTTTTTCTTAGCAATCTTAACGATCATCCAGGCAAGAATATGTGCTTTATCATTTTAACTGTCCTCTTTCACGCTTATCTTCATCCGACTTTATTAAAATGTTAATGCCCTGGAATAACTAACATTAACGTGGTACATTAACGTTATCAACGATGTTAATCGACCTGGAAACTTATTGCGGATTTCATAAGCGCTAGCATACCAGGTATTATTAAATTTAAGCGATACGAGAAAATTCACTCGCCTCTCATTACACTGTTTTACTTTAATTAAATATTTAACAGTAATTCAAAGTTACTAAATCACTAATTAATTTTTGTATACTATTAAAAGCCCAATACAATTACTCGTAGCGTCTCTTCCAAAAAGTGAATTCTACACTTTGCAGCACGTCGCTGGACGCGTCCTGACGAAACATGAATCAGGTGTCGTCGGCGTCTCGTCGCGTCGCTGCTCGCCTCTGAACGAAACACGGATCGGGAGGAAATCAGGCTTGTCATCGGCGCGTATGTCGTCTAGCCTCGACGCAATTTCCATGCATATAAATGGCAAACAGTCGCGACGGGACCGCACCGTTAGCCAGTTACGCAGTTCACGACTGTGGACCGTTTCTGCGAGCCGTGTATGTAGTTCCATATGCAAATTGCACGCTACGACCTAGCACGTCGCGCAACAGCGAAAGCGAATCAATATTGCATTAGGAAGCCTCGATGCTACCGCGATCCGAGTACGGTCCTCTG